TCCTGCGCATCCATATAAAAGTATTTATTATTATTTGTAGTATTATGTTATTCACTCCAATGACATTATTCATTTATTTACTCCACATTATGCCCATATAACACCATGCGCATGTTGCATATGTTTGTAGTTATAATGTAAAACACTTACATAACAAATCAATTTATAATTAAAAATAAATGAATGAACATATGATAAATAAATAAAAATAATAAATGATTGAGTGAATGAGTGAACGAATGAATAAATAAAAAATAAATAATAATAATTGCACATATAATAAGTAAATAAACAAACAAATAAATTTATGAATGATTATATATATATATATATATATATAATATATATAATACAATGTATATAAAAATTTTTAACATATAACATACAAAAATTTATTATATTCACTTACGTATATGTATAGTATATAACATTGGCAAGCTCATATGAATCGAACGTAGGCGTGCTTATATGCATGGATGCAGTAAATATATATAAATGACATTTAGTCTCAAAGAGTGGCAAGGCTTATCTAGAAGTTTTGACGTTTTTTAGAAACTTTTAGAAGTCATTTTCTTACCAGCGTTGAATTAATTTTTTGTCATTGTACGTAAGTTAATTAGAACGCGTCACGCCCGATTTCGGTTTTAGATATGTTTGTAAACCGTCTATATTCCATCATTAATTTAAATTGAATAATGATAATACTATTATTATAACATATAATAGTATATAATAATATATATTATATATAATATAATTATTAATATAATAATTTAAATATCAAAGAGTTAATAATTATACTTAATATATTATCTATATAATATCATGATATTTTAATATATTTTAATATATATATATATATATATATATTATAATAGTATTAATAGTATTTAGTAGGTAATAGATATTAATAGGTAAAAAGTGATTATGAATACGCGCATAGAGCACGATTTCATTATTTCGTAATTAAATTAAATTTTTTTTATTTATAAATTGATTCATTTTTTTTTAAATTTATAGAATCTCATTATTTACTAGATTGTTTTTTATTGGCTATTTATTAAAATTACTAAAATATTATTATTTCGTAAAATATAATTTAGTCTTGAAAAACATATACATCATCGAAGCGCCAATCATTTCCACCAGAGCAACAAATTATCACATCTCATTTTAGTAAATTCTTGTCGAAGATAAAAATAGGGTTGGCGAATGATGTTTTGTTCTGTATTTTAAAAAATTGTCCACACCGCTGCTCGTTTGTTGAAGATATCGATGTTTGACGTCCAACTTGTAAGGTTATCATTTCGTTCATTTCTCCAAAGCAAAATATGATAACGGTTGTCTATTTATATAAATAGTTTAATATTTTCCATGGACACTTAATACTTCTGTTTTAAGTGTCGGAACGTAAAAATAGATACTGCAGTGGCAGGCAATGAACCCATTAAATCTCGTTTTACCTTTGTGTGAATCTCTGACAAACAAACCAACAAACAAATAAATATTATAATTTTTATTAATCAAAATAGCTAGTGATAAACATGCTACAACGAGTTGTTGTTTACAACAATGTTTTGAAATAAATTCATGTTTTGAAAATAGAAAATTAGAGAAATTTATGAAAAATGCAGTGGTTGGGGATAAGTTGCGAAGTATTTTCAGAGAAGCATTGGTTAGAAATAAGTTGAAAATTTTGTTCATTGGATGGGAAGCAACAGTTGTTAATCAGAAATCGCGACGCTGAATCATCTTGTATTACAGGAATCGCATGTCAACTGCATACAAAATAGATGAAGCTATATTATCAATAAAAATGTCACACCAACCAACCCAATTAGTAAAGTTAAACTCCGAATTTATTACCACAATAAAAAACGTCTCACCTGTGTTAAAGCGTAATCACGTAATATATTAATTTAATTGCTCCTTTGACGGCTGTGCACGTCAACATGACTCATATATCGGGATTACTACTACCTCACTGACTGCATAAACAGAGTGGTGCTATCAAATCTCATTTGGACTCAACACAATCAATCACTATAAGCCGTGAAATCCTCGACAGTAACACCAAAGTAATATACCAGAACAGCAACTACACGCTTCTTAAAATTGCAGAAGCAGTCCTAATTGACATCAATAAACCAAAAATAAATATACAACAAAAAATGACAACCTCACTCCCAACCCGGCGCTTAATCAACAATGAAAACAAAGAAGTAATAAAAACTAGCATTGTAAATAGTGACAAAGAAGAATATGATGCTATCAATGAAGAAAAGGAAACCAACGAAGATGGACCAGCCAATAAAGAAACCTGACACCTAATTTCCATCTAAGTTCAATTTCACAAAGTGAATATTTCCCTATATAAATCAACTAGCACTGATGATGATTCATTCGGGATCGAAATATGGATAAGTTTATTTTGAATTTTAATAAACTAAACGTTCTCCAAAAAACTTTAGTGAGAAAAATCGAAAAAACGAACTACAAGCATATTAACGGCAAACATTCGATATAGAATATTGTAAAAATTATGGTCTATTACCAACACACACACACACACCCACACACACACACACACACACACACACACACACACAGACACACACACACACACACACATATACATATATATATATATGTATATAATATATATATTTATATATTATATTTATATATATATATATTATATATATATAATGTATATATATATATAATATTTATATATATATAATATATATATAATATATATATAATACATATAATATATATATATATATATATATATTTTGGTTTAGACTATCATAAATAAAATTGTTTATAAAGATCACTGCGTCTTGGGCATTATTCAACTTGTAGTTTAGTTTCTCAATTTTTCTAACGAGAATTTTATCATCTTGATGAAGTTTATTAAGGTTAAATAAAAAACTTTTAATATTTGAAATTTTTGAAAAACATTATTTATAACGTTATTACTACAGAAAAGCTCTTTTCGGCATCAACTACCATCATAAGTATAGTTATACAGTGTTGTTCCGTTTTTGTGTCTTTCTTGCCTATAAGCTAAAATATTGTCAATATATATATATATATACATATATATATATATATATATATTTATATATATATATATATATATATATATATATATATATGGTCTATTACCAATATATATATATATATATATATACATATATATTTAGGAACGAGGTTTTCAGAAATGCAAATTTCATTGAAATTGTTTGCCCATTTTGCATTAATTAACTTCTTTATAAGACATTCAACGAGGCGGTATTGTTTGAGTTCATATTTATCTAAAACTGGAATAAAGCTAACAGCGCTGTTTCGGCGTA